AGAGCATCATGACTACATATGTAATACATTTAGGTGTCATTATTCAGGTAAAATCTTGCCAACTGGAATAGAATACAAACTTTTATAACACTGGCCAAGGGCACTGTTGAAGGAGACGGTCGTGCTACTCTCAGGAACCCTGTAACGAAAGCTAAAGCTTCAACCAATTTCTGCAAATAAATAAGTATTAACAGAATGTTGGAGAAGCAGAATATATGCTCATTTCATTCATGTGAATTATCTCACTCTATTTGGCTAAAACTTATGTCTCTCATAGATATGTCACATTTATACATTTCTAAGAATTAGATCAATATTTTTCTTTATACTCTAGTTATCCAAATCCATGAGAAAATGTGCTGCATCATTCACATTTGTTTCAGAAAATAATGATATGTAATTGAATGCCCTTTGAAATAATACTAGACCATATATGGAAAAAAGCAAAATTTAAATATAAATTTAATAATCTATAATACAGAAGAATAATGCTTCCTGTGATGAAAGCACACTGATCTCACTGGAATTTAAAACATAGGTGGCAGCATAGAAAGACGGTTAGCTGAATGTTATGCCAACTTTGACTACATGTATGATTATGGAAATTTCTTCTCCAATTAAGAAGAAAACCACTGGAGGATATGTGAGCAGAAAAGCATTAACAATAAAGGGAAATGCCAATGGTTTAAGCTAAGTTTTAACGTCACAAGGAACTAAGGATACTGCACCTCACAGTTTTAATGGTGGTATCTTAATGTCCTGGAACGTTACAAGCTAACACCTTTAAGACATTATGTCAAAATATAAAACACGAATCAAATGAATGCTATGTGAGACACCAAGGGACTTTTATCCCTTAGAGAAATTGTAAGGGGTTGCAATGTTAAACTACAATTTGGACTTAAGTTTGAACTTGACAAATGAGTAAGATTTGTGGCTGTAGGGAAATGACAGGGAGACTTTGTGGTGGTGAAAATCCCCGAGCTAAAGTTTGGAATTTGGCATGGTGTGGTATGCTGCTGAGCCAATGCCACAGTCACTTGGATTTTCTTTTTCTGAGAGTGAGAATGGCAGAAATAAGGAAGAAGAAAGAATATATTTAGGATGTCCCGTGGCACTGCTCTTAAATGAGATTAGTTGAGGAAAATCTGCGGAAAGGAAGGGAAATGGGACACAGTTTAGATTTTGAGGCCACCACTGTTTTGAAAATATAAAGATGAAAAGTAATTAATAACAATTAAAAAAGTGAAGAGGGACATGATAAACTTCAGGTACATGCAGAGAAAATGAGCATTTTAGGAGAAATAATGGACATTCATAGTAGGAAGTAGTCATCAGATGAATTTCTCCAGGACAGAGGACTAATTTGAATATGATTAATCCCAACTCTAACATCTATTAGCAGGAACAGCCTGGGCAAGTTACTTTTCCTACCTGATGTCCAGATTTCCCTATAATATGAGTCTTCAATAAAATGCCTACTTACGAAGATTAATTTGCTAAAGTAGTGTCTGGCTTATAATAACTGGACAATACATACTAGCTTCTGGGGTAGTGGTGGTGGCAGCAGTAATAGTAATAAGACATTATGAATATAATGAGCATCAGGGATATCTCATAAGACTATAATATTTTACGAAAAATAGGCAAATATGCAGTAACTAGCAAAGAATAAGATAAAAGCATACCGAAGGAAATAATATAATGTCACATAATGACTTGCAGTGGAGGCTGTGAGTTGGCATGATTACAAGCCTAGATTAAAAGCCAGACCTGTGTTTCAGTCTTAACATTTACTATCTCAGGAACATTTGGAAATTAAAACTCTATTTCTTTACCTCTTAAATGAGTGTTAATAATTATTACATCAGTGGGTTGTTGAGAGTTAAATGGTATAATCCAAGCGAAGTGTTTAGCACAATTTTTGGCATCTCATTATGATGCCAAATAAAATATTTGCTACACTTTATTTTTGTACTCAAAAGATAAGTTTTTCCTAGGAAAGCCAAAACCTAGGAGTTGAAGCATGCTCTTTCCTAAAGTCACTGGAATAGTAAAATAATTTTTTTGGAAAATGTGAAAATTGCAGTGCTCCAGGTTAAGGAATTGTCACCTTGCCCTGAAATGTGACAATGAACACTTGGAAGAGAACACTAACCTACGATCACCTTATCTAAGAAGACTGAGAGTGTTAAAGAGTTCTTAAAAGATACACATTAAATGATCAAGGAATATTTGTCATTTTTAATAAAAAGGAGTCACCAGGCCTAGAAGAACATAAACACTGGCATCACATCTTCGAATCCTACAAGACATGATGAAAATAGGCAGAAATCCATAAAGACTGAAAAACAGAATTGAAACAACTTCGGATATTGGGGGGATATAATAACAAGTTGTATTAGTCTGTTTTATGCTGGTGAAAGTGACATAGCCGAGACTCGGTGATTTACAAAATAAAGAGGTTTAGTGTGGAAGACTCATAATCATGGTGGAAGGCAAGGAGAAGCAAGTCAGGTTTTACATGGATGGCACCAGGGAAAGAGAGCTTGTGAAACTTCTCAGGGCAGGGAAATTCCCATTTTTAAAACCATTAGATCTCATGAGACTTATTCACTATCACAAGAAGAGCATGGGAAAGACCTGCCTCCATAATTCAATTATTTCCCATGGGCTTCCTCCCAGAACATGTGGAAATTGTGGGAGTTGTAATTCAAGATGAGATTTGGGGTTGGGGCAGAGCCAAACCATATCATTCCACCCCTGGCCCCTCCCAAATCTCATGTCCTCATATTTCAAAACCAACCATGCCTTCCCAACAGTCCCCAAAAGTCTTAACTCATTTCAGCATTAACTCAAAAGTCCATATTCCAAAGTCTTATCCAAGACAAGGCAAATCCCTTCCTCTTATGAGCCTATAAAATCAAAAACAAGTTAGCTACTTCCTAGACATAATGCAGGTACAGGCATTGGGTAAATATAGCCATTTCAAATGGGAGAAATTGGCCAAGACAAAGGGTCTACAGGTCCTGTGCACATACAAAATCCAGCGGGGCAGTCAAATCTTAGAGCTGCAAAACGATCTCTTTTGACTTTGTGTCTCATATCCAGGTCATGATGATGCAAGAAGTGGTTTCCTATGGTCTTGGGCAGCTCTACCCCTGTGACTTTTCAGGGTACAGCTTCCCTCCTGGCTGCTTTCATGGGCTGGTGTTGAGGGACTGCAGCTTTTCCAGCTGCATGGTGCAAGCTGTCAGTGGATCTACCACTCTGGCATCTGGAGAATGGTGGCCCTATTCTCACAGCTCCTCTAAGCAGTGGCCCAGTAGGGACTCTGTGGCATGGGGGTGGCTCCAAGCCCACATGTCCCTTCTATAGTGCCTTAGCAAAGCTTCTACATGAGGGCCCCTCCCCTGTAGCAAACATGTATCTGGACATCCAGGCATTTCTATACATCCTCTGAAATCTAGGCAGTGGTCCCCAAACCCCAATTTTTAAATTCTACACACTCACAGGCTCAACACCAAGTGAAAGCTGCTATGGCTTGAGGGTTGCATCCTCTGAAGTCACAGCCTGAGATCTCTGTTGCTCCTTTCAGCCACAGGTGAAGTGGCTGGGATGCAGGGCACCAAGTTCCTAGGCTGTACACAGCATGGTAACCCTTGGCCAAGCCACAAAACCACTTTTTCCTCCTAGGCCACTGGACCTGTGATGGGAGGGGCTGCCATGAACACCTCTGACCTGCCCTGGAGACATTTTCTTCATTGTGTTGAGGATTAATGCTTGGCTTCTTGTTACTTACACAAATTTCTGCAGTTGGCTTGAATTTCTTCTTGGAAAATGGGATTTTCTTTTCTACTACATTGTCAGGCTCCAAAGTTCATGAACTTTTATGCTCTGCTTTCCTTGTAAAACTGAACGTCTTTACAGCACCCAAGTCACCTCTTGAATGCTTTGCTGCTTAGAAATTTCTTCCACCAGATACCTCAAATCATCTCTCTGAAGTTAAAAGTTCCACAACTCTCTTGGGCAGAGGCAAAATGCCAGCAGTCTCTTTGCTAAAACATAACAAGAGTCATCTCTGGTCCAGTTCCCAACAAGTCCCTCATCTCCATCTGAGACCACCTCAGCCTGAATTTCATTGTCCATATCATTATCAGCATTTTCCTCAGAGCTATTCAACAAGTTCCTAGAGAGTTCCAAACACTCCCACATTTTCCTGTCTTCTTCTGAGCCCTCCAAACTGTTCCAACCTCTGTCTGTTACCCAGTTCCAAAGTCACTTCCACATCTTTGGGTATCTTTTCAGGAGTGCCCCACTCTTAGTACCAATTTATTGTATTAATTCATTGTCACAATGCTGATAAAAGATATACCTTAACCTGGACAATTTATGAAAGAAAGAGGTTCAATAGAGTTATAGTTCCAAGTGGCTTGAAAAGCCTCACAATTATGGCAAAATGCAAGGAGGAACAAGCCTTGTCTTACATGGATGGCCACAGGTAAAGAGAGAGTTCATGCAGGGGAACTCCTCATATTAACACCGTCAGAGCTCACGAGACTGACTTACTATGATGAGAACGGCACAGGAAATACTTGCCCCCCTGATTCAGTTACCTTCTACTAGGTTCCTCCCACGACATATGAGAATTGTGGGAATTACAGTTCAAGGTGAGATTTGGGTGAGGACACAGCCAAACCAGATCACAAGTTGTAAACTTGCTATTGACTTTATGTAGTCCAATCATGGTGTTTAACATACGAGTATTATTACATGTTATTACATATTACATGTTATTCCTTACATACAAATAACATGTAGTACTAAATGCTATTGCTACATATTACATGTTATTTCTTACCTATTATTAACATGTAATATTGCTTTCAGGAGCAGAAGTACAAGTCAGCCTCACCTGTCCTCTATTCATTTAAGTGGAAACATTTCTAAAAGCGGCTCCAAAGCCATTGCCCTGCCCCAGCCCCCTTGTTGTACTGTACCTCTGCAAAAGGGAGCTGGGAAGTCCCACGATGCACCGTTTCCTGGGCTAACGATGCAGGTCAGGATAGCATGACCTTCCAAGATGTAGCCAGAGAGGCAGCTGTACCGGATTTTGTCTCCTATGTTGAATCTTGTTCCATGGAGAACTCCTTTCAGAATTTCTCCAGGATTTCCACAAGTGTGACTAGGTAAAACTATTGGAAAGAGGGGAAAAAAAAGGAGAAAAAAACCACGTTAAATTTTCTATGGAGAGCCATTTATACCACAAAACAGGCACCATCTTTGGATGATTAAAATGAGAAAATCTCTGGCATCAGAAAAATATTAATTGTTCCTAAAACTAAACTGAGAAAATGGCTTCTGATTTTAGAATATCTGCAGCCTAATACTTTTATAAACAGTTTTATAAAGTACAAATAAATGCATTTTGTTAAGAGAGAAAAATACTCCTGTTTGTATTTGGTGTTCCAGATGATGCCTAGATTATATTTTTCTAGCGATGAAATTCTACATGCTCATATAGCGAGCAACCAGATCACACAGTAGACAATAGAAATCTAAAACAATAATATCAGATAATACCGCAAGAGTGAATACTCATAAACCCTATTTATTTTTATGCATCCAAGACTGGTATGGTGTCTGATACATATCATTATGCAATGTACAATTAAGGTTTGATGGATAAACAATCGAATTCAATAAAAACTAGAAATCTCATGCATGGATTCATCAATGTATAAAAAAAAGATTTTATCACTATATCCCAGGCCAGCAGCCAGGTTCTGTCCATTTATAGCATCTGATTCAAAAGTAAGTTTCAGTGCTAAGTTTTGATAACACAAATACTCAATTCACTTGCATTTTGTAAACCAAGAATAAAATTCAAAGCCCTCAGCCATCTGAATGGAACCTCCTCTCAGCCAGGGTCATTCCTGAAAAACTTGTTGAGTTAACCTGAAAAACTAGTTCAAGCCATAGTGGTATGGGTGAGCCAGACCTGCCTCATTGTACCCTCTTCCCTTTTAGAATTACTGGTAGAACAGGCTCCTTAACTCTGAAAAGAAACATTGGCAATCTATTTTTGGAAGCCTGCTACCTGGAGGCTTCACATGCATGATAAAACATTGGTCTCCATAACCCTTTATCATAACCCAGACATTCCTTTCTTCTGATTCCAGGTCTTAAACAATAACTTAACTCTTTCAATTAGTTTCCAGTATTAAAAAAAGCAAACAAACAAACAAAACGCTTTGACTCTACCTATGACCTGGAAGCTCCCACTTTTCAGACAAGACCAATGTATGTATCATGTGTCTTGATGGATGTCTTATGTCTCCCAACAGTGTATAAAATTAAGTTGGGGCCCAGTCACCTTGGACAGCTGTTCTCAGGGTCTCCTGAAAGCTGTGTCATGGGCCCCTGGTCACTCATTTTTGGCTCAGAATAAATGTTTTTAAATATTTTACAGTTTGACTCTTTTCATTGACAATTTCAATAATGGGATATTGATTCTGTTCTTTTGTGACCCTCTCACATTTTCCTTGATATGATTCTCTGTCTAAATCAATCGATTTGAAACTCCATTCCGTACTCAGAGAACATGATGTTGAACTGAAGTGGTGCATCATTCAGTTGAATGGACAAAAGTCATGATTGTCAGCTACTGTCTCCTTATTTATGGTTTAAATTTAGTATGTAATCAGTAAATTAGCCGTTCTTATTTAGTATTTGAATAAGCTATGGAAATTACTAGCAGGGAAATAAAAAATATTTCCAAATAAAAATGCATTTCCAACTGAACAGAAGCCATTTTATGTCTGTATCTGCTGTCTTTGCATGGGCAAGGGGATGTATATTAATGCATTGGTATAACGTAGCACAGTATTTTTTGTTTTCTTAGTTTTTAAACTGAGAAATATTTAGAACTTTTCTAGAATCTGGGGAAGGAATCTCAGTTTTTTTTTTAAAAGAATTTTCATTTATCATGACACTACATAAGTACAAACTGAGCTATGTAGAAACACTTAGGAAATAAATGCTACTGCTTAGATATTATTATTATTGACATATTTAGGAAATCTCCATTTACACAGTCAAAGTGTGCTCAGTTCTAGTTTTTAATTTTTATGAGAGCAGTCTGCAAAAATCAGTTTAAAAACACAACAGAAAACAGTTCAACATTATCTACAATAATTTGTGTTGTCTTTTTCAATAAGAAAATTCTGTATTTATTTCCACATTCACTATCCCTAAAGCAAAAATGCGTGCTGTTTATAGTACATTACAAATGACATCTGTAAGGAAGAAAAACTTTCCATTTTGTCCGGGCAGCCCTTCGGATTATAACTCAGAATGCCTGTCTGTCCGCTGAGCCGCGAGCTCTTAAGGTCAAAGACACAGGTTAAATAGCCACCGTAAATGGAAAGAGAGAAGCAGAGTGATCGACAGAGAAGGGGAATGTGTGGACAAACATATGTTGGGTGTTGTTATAGTCTAGGGATATTCAAAATTAATAAATCCTCATGTCTTCTTAGGGTCATTATTATCATCGTTAACTGTTACTAATAATTCTTCTTAGAAGGCAGCCAGGCACAGAGGCTCACGCCTGTAATCCCAGCACTTTGGAAGGCCGAGCTGGGCAGATCACAAGGTCAGGAGATTGAGACAGTCCTGGCCAACATGGTGAAACCTCATCTCTACTAATTTTTGTAAAAATACAAAAATTAGCTGGGTGAGGTGGCATGTGCCTGTAATCCCAGCTACTCGGGAGGCTGAGGCAGGAGAAATGCCTGAACCTGGGAGGCGGAGATTGCAGTGAGCCGAGATCGCAACACTGCACTCCAACCTAGTGACAGAGTGAGACTTTGTCAAAACAAAAAAAAAACAAAAAACAAACAAAAAAACATTTTCTAATAGAAGGTGTCCAGAAAATTGTTCCCCAAAGACAAGGGTTATCGATGACAATCTATCAAATTAGCCTGCCAAAGATAACCACAATGACCAGTCAATACCACGCATGGAAAAATCCAAATGGACCACTCTGAAAATGGCACTTAGTCTGTGCAACTATTTTTTTTCTGTTAAAAAAGCATAAAATTACTTTTTTCAATCAGCTTTGGTATGAAAAATGTAATTAATTATTGTGCTGAAAGATCAACAGAACATTCTACAGGAATAAATGGTTGTGAGCTGCATAACGACCGCTCAATGATAGGTCTCATACACGATGCCAGTCCCAGGAGCTTACGGCCTAGTGATGCTGTAGCCGTCATACTGTGGTAGCACCAAGTACAACTCACATGTGTGTGGGGACCCTGATGGAAACAAGCCACCTGAGCTGCCAGTCATACGAAAGTGTAGCACATACAATTCGGTTTATTACATGTTTGATGATAATAATGAACAGCTGTTACTGTTTTTTGTATTTATTATAATTTTATCATTATTTCAGAGGATGTTTCTTCTACTCAAAAAAAAAATAATAATAATTTAACTGTAAAACAACCTTAGTCAGGTCCTTCAGGAAGAATTTCAGAAGGAGCCATTGTTATTCTAGGATATGGCAGCTCCATACTTGTCATTGTCCCTGAAGACCTTCCAGTGGGACAAGATGTGGAGATGGAGGATATCGTGATATCTCAAGATACTGCTGTTATGGACAAGCCTCACACTTTATTATCCACAGCGTATTTAGTAAATTTTGAGAGAAATGAAGTCCTCCAAAATTGTTATCACTGTAATGTGCAATGGTATTTTCCAGCATGGTAGAAATGTACTGACTCATACATTTTCTAAGGAAAAATATCATTAATAAATACAAGAATTTCCCCAAGAAGGATTCTGAAAAGAAATATGTGTAAACACCCATCACTTCTAACTTTCGACAGATAGCTACTCCCATAAAACTGAATATGAAAAATATTTATTCCATTCTATTTCATCAATTTCGAAAAGATATTTTTAGCAGGGAAAAATTAAGGCCGATGTTAGAAGTAGCAAATGTCAAAGAAAAAAGTAGACCTCAATGGAGAGTGTGCCTGTTCTTTCGATGAAATCGCATTTTCAGTTGTTGTATCTGATGTAAAGGATCCTTGTCCAGGTGCAGTTGCAGGCTTTTATTTCACAGCAGGTGCACAAAGGGCACCGTTACCATCACCACCATTGCATCATAACATTGATGAGAAAAGTAAGATTTCTGACCAGAGCCACTGCCTGTTCTTTCCATGTCTGCATGAGGTTTCTCCAGTTTCCTCCATATCCCAACAATGTGCATGATAAGTTCACTGGTATGTGCCCAGGGTCCCAATGTAAGTGTGTGGTGTGTGTTTGTGTGTGTGTGTGTCCCCGCCATGGCAGGGTGTCCTGTCCAGGGTTGGTGCCCACCCCACCTGTTATCCTGAGCTGCTGAGACAGCCCTGACCACCCACAACCCAAAACTGGAATAATTGGATAAATTGTTATTTTGCTTGCTTTTATTAATCTTTCTCAAATGAATGCACAGCTCGGATCTATTTCAGTGTTTGATATTTCAAGTGCTTCGATCTTGAATATTTAGAATTTTGGCAATGTTTTGTCTGACCAGAAATATAGGAACTTTACTCTGGTTTATACCAATTAGACTATGGGAAAATTGTTTTTTTCTTATGTTGATTTGCTTAGAGCTACAGTTTCCAAGAACCCGCCAAGCACAAGAAGTGAAGACTTGCTATAATGGCAATAGCCGTCAGCTCCATGCAACGGTCCAAAGAGTCAGAGGATAAAGAGGACGTCTATTTCTGGGCACCTTAGACCACTTTAACGGTTTTCCTTCTTGTCCTTGTCTGCAGATTTTGTCTTTACTTTAACATCGTGACACTTAATTATAAAAGAAATTGAAAAACACAAATCAGACACAGTCTTTGCAAGGTGCAAAGCATTAAGATGGGTGTTTACAAATACTTCTTTTCAGAATCCTTCTTAAGGAGATTCTCATATTCAACTGACAAGGATTCTAATGGAAAGGAGAATGGTCTTTAGGTCTTTTCTTTTACATGGATCAGCTCTGTTTATGGACTGAAATTGTTTTCCCATCAGTATTTATTTTACAGAGGAAGGATGTGAAGATTGAATTAGATAACAGGTCTCCAAATATCTGTTCTTTAAGACTCCAGGACACTTTATTGTAAACAGCTGTTGATAGCTCGAAGGGCCC